TAGTTGATGATCGATAGAAAAAAACTTTCATATCAAACCTATATTATTTTTCTTACATGGAAAACTTGGAGATGAAGGCGGATTCCGGCAACGTCAACGAGAAGACGATCTCATTGGATTTGCTGTCGGGATTCAGTACTTTCGACACTGTTTCCGTCACGGCGTAGCGATATTTGATGGAGCTGCGAGTCTTCAAATAAAGTACCGTGGGCCTAGTACTTTTAGAGGACTGCTTGGTTTCATTCTCTGCCAATTGTTCCCCAGATGATTGTTCCGGCTTCTCCGTCTTCGAACCGAGATGCAAAGTACAAATTTCGTTGAAAAAATATTCATAATACAGTTCACTTTTTTAATTAAGCAAGCGGTCGCTGGACTGCTTTCGTGAATATATTCCAAACTCCAAGTGCATAAATGTGTCGAATAAATAATTCGCGATTCGATTATACTTGCATGTAGTCGAAATAAAGACAACAAATACAGTAAATTAAATCAGTTAATCCAAATCATTTCATCTGTGCAGTTCCTTCTTTCTTTTTGTCAACTCGGTCACAGAAAGTATGAATTCAACGGTGGATTTTTTCTGCAACGGTTTACCTTCACACATTTTCCGGAAGTGTCCTTCATGGGAAATAAATCAGATTTTGTTATTGACGTACAGCACAGTAACACCATTGTTCCAGGAAAAGGCGGAATATAAAGATAATGAAAAAATAATGCACGTCAACATAATTTCAGAAAGACAATAAAAATCCCGACAACAGCAAATGGTGGACAAGACAAATTTTTAGCCCGCCAAACTGAGATCATTGCCTTTCTATGATGTGCTATTCCGTACGTACTGAGAGAAAGAATCAGATAAATCTTGTAAAGCGAATATTTCTCCGATTGCATCTTACCGTTTTCGAAATCAGAATAACCACTGAATCCTTGGCGTCGACGTGAACATCATTTCTCGCACTGCTTTCGACGTCGGCCGTCGACGTCGTCGCATCTGTCGAGTCCATCTCAACCTCTGTCGTCGTCGTCGTTTCGCGTGTCGGCGTATCAGTCGTGTCAGAGTAGTAGAGGTAAAGTCGCTGTCTACAGCGAAGATCCGAAAGATGACGACAATGGGCGTGTTCTCCTTTACGTCTACGCGAAGCGAAAACCCCGTGGGCGCGCAACCTAGACACCCGTGCAATTTTCGTTCCTCAGGTCAGAAAAAATGTGTTCCATCCTCTGGAATAAAATGCTGTTGGTGCCAGCTAAATAACCATCAAGTATTTTAAAAATTCTTTCTGACCCTCAGGTACCCGGCCTTAATATTCAATCCCTCTACCATCATATATACAGTGTACAGGTGGTACCCGCAATTCAACACCAATTCATTGACATGCAGGCTAGGATAGAATTATAAAGTGGTTGAATCGCAAGAAATTGCAAAATTCAATGTTTTCTACATGTAATTTGACATTTTCAGCCCTCTGCAGGTTGGATTGCGGAGCAGAGGTCAAATTGCAAGTCAACCTCATCCCAGCAAATGTGTCCGTTGAATTTCAGGATGGTAAAATTGTGGGATTTCAAATTGCCAAGTACCACCTGCATTCAATTATTTTTGTCCAGAGTATTTAATTTAGCAACCACGTTCCAGACATGGCAGTGCTTACATATCACCTCCTGGATATACAGGTAAACTCTCTCTACAAAAACTTGGTAAATGACAACCAACTTTTTTTGTAAAAAAAATCGTTCGCATTTATGACAAAAATCTTGTCATAAATGCTTTTCTATGTAGAACAAATTTTTCTTTGTTGGTCCCATGGCATAGGGTTCTCTGCCCATGTTCTAGTCTAGGGGTTCCCTACACAAATATTTTTCCTGGTCCTTTCAATTTTGTGGTATAGAGAGAGTCCATCTGTATATTCAAAGTAATAAGTGTATATTCACAGATAAGTGACATAAAATCAGATGGTTCTAGACTTCAACTCAGAGATCCACAGGAAGAAAAAAAATAAATATCCTTTATTATTTGAACCCCCAATGCCATGTGTCCTATGCTACAAAAATTATAATTCAGTTGGTTATAATTGCCAAATTTATTAACTATCACCTGTACCTTTTCTCTGGAAATCAATGCCAAAAGAATGGCCAAGTACAGAATGAACCCACGTGTTTGAGTGAAATACAGCGACGGCCAGCGTCCTGATGAAAGGCGTCCAACTAAGGCCATAAAGCACTTCAGGAAAAGCACCAACAAGCACTTAAGGCATCCTGAACCCAAGGGAAAATCGGGATTTTTACCGGACCCGAATGTAACTTGCGGCAGTGCATCAATCGCGAGCATCGCAAACGCGATTAGCACTATCGTCAATATGAAGTCTTCTCGCATAATTCTGTGACAAATATTTCCTAAACAGACGCTAATTCGGTCAAAGTAACAAAGCTTTGGAACTCGCTAGTACACAATTGAGAAACTTGGTTCGTAAAAAATGTAGAAAACAGTCAGTTCGCGCCGATGTCCCCTTCCAGCTGCGCGAGTTCTAAGAAATTTGAGGGAACGATCGCAAATAGATGAATGCAGACTTCTACTCTTTGAAGAAGCGACATATTTGATCCCATTGTCATCTAAATATTTTTATTAATAATACACCCTTCTTCCAAATATTTCCACTCTGAAAAATGGCAATGGGACTCATTTGCGGGGGTTTTAACATGCACTTCCCTAAGATCAGAATGCGGACAGCGTTTTTCTGATCTCGAGCCCAAGCATCCTTACATCATCGCAAAATTCGCAATTGTCATGCTGTAATTCTTGACGAATTTGCGCTCAGTTTTTTTCTGCTAGCTACTGTACCGATTTTAAGGTGTACTTTTCTAATATTTTCTTTCGGCATTCGATAAAATATCTCGTGAAAACCTTTCCTAATAAGTCATGTTCCACATGAATGAAGTGTGGAATGCGCCAAAAAAATTTCTTCGTCACGTAGTAATGATTTCGTGAGGACTTCCGTGCAGTGATCTCGCCTTTTTGCCGTGCGCGTGAGCGAAAGAAATGCGTCGTTTAACACGCCGCGATTCGCATTCCTCGTTGATGTCTTTTTTTTTTTTTTGTAGCTGAACTCAACTCGATTTTGGAATGAAGAATTCACCTAAATGTTTGTTCTTATGTTTAATGCCATGTTTAAGAAACACGATATTGATGACGGGATCTCGTGAGAACGAATCGACTGAAACGATCGATCAAAGATTTCTCGGGATTTTCTTTTCACAAGGCATCGAGTTTTTCTCCGAAAGTCTAAAACTCACAAAGTTTCGTTCAAGGCTGATGAAAATATTTTAATTAATTCCTCCCATGATTCAGGCTTTGCGATTTTCCTCGAAACCAAACGATTAAAAAGTTAGATGTGCAAAAAGGAATATGAAGTCGCTCAATACTGTACTGCTGCATATTCTCCATCAAGGAACTGAAAAGTTGCATTCCAGCACGACTGAATTTTCCGAATGTTTTTAAACTACGAAAAAATGTTGAAGGCTCAATCTCAATAATTTCTGGCAAAGCCATCATTGCTTCAAGTCGAAAATTCTTGACATGAATGAACATTTTTTTAGTTCAGCATATTCAATGAAGGAAGAAAGGGGGCATTTTATCCATCAGCGTTGTGTTCATGAGAATGAAAATGGCTTTTAAATTGATAAAACCTCATCGAAAAAGCCAACATTATGAATAAATTCATTAGAATAATGGTCAGTGGTCAAGTTTTAATATAAAAATATTACTTTGATAGACGATTTCATAAAGTTGTCCATTACTTCTACAACTTTTGAAAACACCTTCGTACGAGTGCAAAGCCTATTCGTATAATGCCTTGGCTGTATAATTCATCACTGTTAACGAATGGCAACTCAGTCAGTACCGTGGTTTCTCCTCGAACCTCATTTGCAAAATCCCGTCGTCATTCAATCCTGGACAGTCACATACACTGTTGAACTACACTGTCTCACCACTCCTAGTTCACAAGAACTCATTCGAATGCAGGATAACCGAACGATTTATGTTCCGAACCTGTTCATTCATTCCAAGGTAGCGCAAAGCACTAATACAGGCATTCTCGTGATCACATCAGCTAAAAAGGCTTACAACTAATTATAATTTTGATTTTTAATATACCTGTGCATGCGCATTTGCGTTTTTTCGCTAGCAATCGAGTGACGTAACGACAGTTTAAATTATATAATTTAATCTCAAAAGACTGCGATTAATAGTGTACCCTATTACAACTTGTGCAGAAGTAAATCGTGCACAAAAATTTTCAGCCTAAAATATGTATACTGTATTTATTTAAGAACAAATCCCCGATTGAAATAAGCACCCTATTTATTGTGACTAAAAAATTATCCATACTTCAACGGAAAAATTATCAATTTTGACTCGCATTGAACCGAAATGTAATTGATTATCAATATAACTTAGTTTTTTAATAATATGGATTCACGAACAGTGACCCTTTCCTCGGTTATACTGATGAAAAATCCAATAAGGTCTTAAGTTAAAAAAATGCAGGCATACATTTCCAAAATCCGGTGAAGCGCTTTTTTTTTTTATAAATGTAAGACACGCGCGTATTTACGAATTTCAACGTCATAACCTGGAGAATATACCAACAGAAACAGATTTTTTATTCTGCGATCCATAAAAGAAAAAGGGCAAGGAAATCAAAGAATTACTTTCCTGGTAGAATTAAGCAAGTAAACCTTCATAGGAAATCTGCAAAATAATCGGATGTTATCATCTTCGGAGTTCCTTATTCGCGCGGAAACTCAGTAAACTTGGCAATAATGTAAAAGAAAATTAGTCCGATCGAATGCAAGAATGAGCTCAGAAATTCAATATCGAAGCGAATTCATGCTGTGTGCTTTCACCAATTAACAGCGTCGTATTCCATTATCCTCAGGCAAAATAACTGTTGAAAATACGCTGGTGGACCTGATCAAAATGAGTTTTAAGCGATGAATAACGGTGAAAAATTGTTCTACCCGTGGAAAATCGACTTTCCTCGTACCTTAGCTACGAAACGGAATTACTCATAAACCGAAAGAATAAGCGCGATGCGGCGTTTTAAATTTGCTTCTATTACGTCAATTAATCTCCTCATTCACCGGGAAATTCATTCAATCGCTGAATGAATCAGAGGAAAGTCATGAATATGGGCAGTCACTTTTTCCATCAGAGGTAATGGCGCAATTTATCCTTTGCTTCAACACGCGGCCATGTTGAAAATTATACAGCTCAAGTCCGCAATATGCGCAAAAGCATGAGTGATTACGCACTACACGGGCTAAAAAAAAATGTACCGATCCACTTAGTAGCTAATTTGTATTCCTGCCTTCCTGGACGAGGTATAAACTAAGTACACTTCCACAATTAAAATATTGTTCTAAGGAAAAATTCCTCGAGATGAGCCTCTCGTTTCCCCATCACGAGCACTGCTGGCACAGCTAGAGATCGAACACTCGGAAGATGACGCGATACTGAGAGCTAAGGTCGAAACCGGAGGCTGCTCATTGAGCAAGCAATCAAGGCTGGATTGCCCCACCCGATTCTTCCTATTTTCTGGCCACTTCCGGCAAAGATGGGTTACACTGAGGCAATTTTTTCGTTATCTATGAAAAGAGCAGCAGCCGGTGCAGCAGCAACGCGAGTGATGAAGGGACTTGGTGCGATCAGAGCGACCCGCAGCCCGCGAACCTGAACCACACGTGCCCAAGTCGGAGCGATTCGATCAGGAATGGGAATTTCCCAGATGCGACCATTTCATGGAACGAACAGACTCGTTTTTACTGCGGGCTAATTATTTTTTCCACTGAAAATATGTCAGAAAAACCGAATTGGAAAGGTCGCATTAAATTATTTTTCGTACTTATGCTAAAAAAAAATGCCGACGTTTTCCTTATTGAAAATTATTGACTGCTGCAAAGTACCAATGTGGAGTTTTACTGATCGTGCGAGAGCAACTCGTCTAAATGTGAGAAATGAACCAGGAGAGAATCAAAAGACAGAGGAAGCACAAGGCAGCAATTCCAGAGATGATATTTCACTGTAGTATTTCACCCATCATATTTCCAACATCCAAACAAACATAATACAACTCAAAGACCGATTTTGAATGAATTATGGTATAGCACTATTTTTTTCATCGCAACAAAATGTTCAAAGGTTACGCGGGAGAAACTCCATAGATTTAATGCAAACACCATATAATAATCAATTTCGATTACAGATGGAATCTCTCTACAACAATCTTGTTTGAAACGATTTTCTCTACATATAAGAGTTTTATTTTCTGGTTGATTGAATTTCGTTGCAGAGAGTCCACCTGCATTTAGTATAACGCCATGAAAATCTCAACGTTTTTGTCCAACAAGTTTTGTTCTAGATATCTAGAATTTTTTCTTACCTTGGATGGGATCATTTAGTTTGCTAGATCACATTTATGTTCTTCAGCTTGCATTGCATTAGCTTTCATGTTGAGAAGCTATTCGTAACAAAAAAGACCAGCTCGATTAGAAACAGGCTTGTGCTTATTATATGAAAAAATTCAGCAGAACACTATCAGAACATTGCCTCCTGAACACCATGGAAAAATTATGATCTGGGAAAATCCCGTTACTCCAATCCATTTCCAGGAAGCAGACAAACAAGAAATGCATTTTTCGGTATAATTTCCATCATTTATAGCATGTTTTTGGTAACTCCGAGAGCTGAATGTAGAACTCAGGTATACATATTCCTTCGATTCTTCCCAGCATTGAACATTCTTAGTCACGGTGAAAAAAAACCCTATTGCTGAGATCGAATGAACTCCTTCATGGCTGAGACGAAAAATTAACGATAGCTGAATATTCATTATCTTCCAAGGAATGGTATGAAAATCAGGTACTATATAGTGACTGACACACTTATTTACCGTTTTCGCAGCTATACATAGAGTCACACACTTGAAGCCACGTACGGCCGCCGAAAAAGAAAAAAACAACGAATAACACTTGGACGTGGTTGGAGTGCTACACAGAGGAACCATCTCGTCACCACCTGAAGGCCCACTGAGGGTCACTAACCTCCTCATGGGAATCTTCCTGTATAGGGCCAGCATCTGAGGATGTGATTAAATCAGAGATTCCCGGTGCCTTCTCAGCATCTAAGCATGCTGGAATACGAAACTGCCGAGCCACTTCATTTCTGCGATACAAATGTGACTTTGTCTCAGCTTTCTCGGGAATCTATGTTTAAAACGGATAGAACAAAATATTGCAACACAAACCATCTCATTCTTACCCGAGTTCACGCGGAAGGTGAACAGAAGTTTATGCAGATGATACTTCTGCTGAGATCACAAATCAGCAACCCTCTGAAGTGAAATGATCTGCCCCGAGTTTTATTTTGTAAAAATAAAAAATAGTCCTGATTGTAATGCTGTGTATACAGAACATGAAACAGGCGAACTCTCTTTACAATGATCGTGTCTACAACAATATTCTCTGTGCAACAAATCTTTTTCGGGATCCCATTCCGGGTATCTACCCATCCTATACAGAGGTTCTCAACAACAAAATTATCTCTACAATGGATTTTTTGGTTCCTGAATTTTGTTGCGCAGTACTGAGTGCACATGTAAAAACATTCTGGGCACATACAAGATGCAGCAACAAATTATTCTGATTATAGATGATGGTCTTGCATTTTAATTCAATGTTCAGTTGTCTGTTGGGTTCACAGAAAGGAATAAATTTTCTGCCATTCAAGGCTATCGGAAAATCACCTTTGGTTAACAAACTTTTGTCTGGAACCAATCAAGTTCTTCAATCAAGGGTCGACTGTATACCTACAGTCACCAGGAACAAAGGGTGAATTCACGCTCGATCCACTCTTGTGTGGAACAAAGGTAAAGTTGGGATTTAAAAAAATGTTACTACAGGCAACTCTTGGATTTATATTCTTGATTGAATATAGTGATTTAATGGACACTTGAATGATTACCATTAAATGCGAAATAAAAAAATGCCAAATCCATGCAAGAAACATCGCAAGACACGCGTTCCATTCCTGGATACATTCAGTAGTAGATTGCAAATTTTTGGATGGAATTTGTCGAACAGGAAACCTGAACGCAGCCGAAATGCGCAAGAACCGAACCCACCATGTAGAACACGCCCAGCGCTCAGCCCTCAGAACTCAGCAAATGTCGACATGGCACAAATGCCAAAACCGTGAAGTACTGGATAACATATACAGTATGTGCTCAAACCTGTGACCCCTTAGAAGTTAACTATGCAGTCCCTCTCTGTCACGCAAAAAGCACAGCTTCAGTGTTGCTGAATAACAGGGAAGAAGGATGGAGTGCATTTACCATCACATTCATAGATGTCGGTTTTGAAAGAAAGTCAAAGTAGATGATTTGGAGACGGATAGATGGAGGCACTGGTGAAAAATGGCGGCGCCCTTGCCGTTACTGTGTGACGCCCCTGAAGCTTCTCACAGGGGCTCTCCGAGGTTCTCGATGTTTGTAGTCTTTTAATTCGCCCTTTTGAGCGCTTTCACTCGGGACTTCGTGTGACTGCTTAAGCGAAGTGGCTGTGATATTTTAGTGTGAATAATCTTCGGACTGTGTTTGCTAATTTGATCTTTTTTGAATTTCTTTCTGTAGTCAAATCGTGGACCGTGCTTGGTCGGTGAGAGTTCGCCATGGTAAGTCTATTCTCTATGAAATACGCGGACGATATTCAAAGGAGTTCATGTTCATTTCCAGACTAAAGGTACTTCAAGTTTTGGAAAGCGTCGGAACAAGACTCACACCTTATGCAGACGATGTGGTCGTTCATCGTATCACATTCAAAAGCATCGTTGTGCGCAGTGTGGTTATCCCGCGAAAAAAATCCGGAAGTGTAAGATAATCTTTTAACTCAGCTCGGTGTTTTCCGTGTGAGAAACTGCATTACTTATCATGCCCTTTTTGCGTTCTGCATTTTAGATAATTGGAGCACGAAGGCAATTCGTCGCAAGACCACTGGGACTGGTCGCATGCGCCACTTGAAGATTGTTCATCGTCGTTTCCGCAACGGTTTCAAGGAAGTCAATGTGAAGAAAGCCGTCAATGCCCCGAAAGTTGCACCCGCGAAAAAATAATTTTCATTGCTGACAATTTTTTTGTGACGGGAGTAAACGTTTCTCTGGAGTTCTTTTCCGTGTTGCCGTGTCGTACTATTCTGAAGAAAGTAACAATCCTTCGTAATTTTTCCGCAGATTATTTGTACTTCTATATTTCGTGTTGGTTACTATGTTGCGTGCAACTCAAAATTTTTGTTGACCGACCGAACCGTTTTCTGCTTTCGATGTGACGTAAAAGTTCCTCTTGTGACGTGGTGGAAGACGATTAACAGCCTTCCTCCAAGTATTACTGCGATTTATCATGGATCGCAGTCGGCTCTTCAAGCATGGTCTCACTCGCTACCACGGCGACGAAGGGAAACGCCCTCGTCGCACGTACACCATTATGACAGAAGAGGAAATCGCTTCTGGGAAGAAATCCGAATGGCATGAGTTGGATATCCAAGGTGACAGCTTTTCTCAACCTCAGCGAGCCTTCTTTATTAAAATTTTTCGAGTAAACCTGACGAGGAACTGTTTCAAAATATGTGCACGGAAGACGAGGAAGTGGAAGTGGTGTTAAAATTGGTTTTATGATTTTAAGCTTCTAGAAAGCCCTCTGGTCGTGAAACGGTTGCGTTAATTTGGATCAGTTTTCACCTCTCGCCAACACGCTTCGTAAAGTGCTGAGGTTCTGTTTCTATGTATATTTTCAGGCAATGTGAAGAACCTCAGTCCAACATTGTGGACCTACACGCATTTAACGTGTCTGTACCTGTACGACAACCAACTTACGCGCTTGTCCTCCGAGATCAAGAACCTGGTGAACCTCGTTTGCTTGGATGCGTCCGGGAATAGGCTGCGGTCGCTGCCGGCCGAAATAGGGGACCTAGTGCAACTCAGGTATTTAATTGCTTATTCCTAAAAATACGCGTATATTTTCCAAGTGTGTGTCACGATTTTTGAATCAGCTCTTCGCTTGTGTAATTCCATTTGGCCTACATATGAAAAGTTTCGGAGTATGACGATAGTCATGAAAACCATCGACGCGACTCCTGGCTGGAATCGCCTGTATCAATCAAAATCCGAAGGAGGACCATTGCAAAAATTCAGAAGCCTGAATTGTTTCAAAATCATTACAAATAATCGCTTGATACAATCCATCAAAATAATGCGATGAATCTGTTGACGTTTTATTAACATCAGAATAAATAATTGAAGGATAACTACGAGAAAATGCTGCAAGCGTTCAGATATCACAGCTGTTATTATTCGTACTAGGTTATCAGTGACCGCATATCTTCTGAAGTAAGAAAAAACATGGAACACCGTCTGTTTCGAAGATTTTAAAGTCTTTAAAACGACGGAAAATGTAGATGACGTGCTACGCTTTTATTACCGCTTTTACTCGAGTACCACGTCCCCTTGAGTAAGAGGTTCACGGGGTTTTTTCAGATGAAAATTTTGATGAAGTCGTATCCCACAGTAAGGCACGCCCCTCATTTTTTGTGACTCTTGAAGTCACAAAATATTTCAAGAATCAGAACACCTAAATTTTTTTCGGGAATAAATTTAACCTGAATTAAACTAATCTTCGTTTCTATTCAAATAAGTTTTTCTGTTCAGCTCAGTCCAAAATTTTGATTGGAATCAAGTATACAATACTACATACCTATATTTCTAAAACGTTTTGCAAAATGGCTACCCGGCTATGGTACTCACCTCCCCCCTTTTTTTCTCTCAAATTAGAGAAGAAATGTGCTCTCGGTACTTCAGTAAATACGGTATGCGTGTGTAAAGGCCATAAACAAATTGAAAGAGACGGATTTATAAGCTGCTGAAATTAATCAACTGAATCTGGTTGATGACTACTGGAACTGTACGTTTTTATTGCTAATTCCACTTTGTTTCATTTCAGGGAGCTGAACCTCAGTCACAATCTCCTTCGAAATTTGCCATACGAGGTCGGGAAGTTATTTAAGCTTCAGTTCCTGGGACTGAAAGGAAACCCACTGACCGCTGATATTCTCACCATGTGTTCTGAGCCGAATGGCACAGCAAGGCTCCTCACCTTTTTGCTTGATCATCTCACTTGTGAGTACCTTTTATGCTTTTCAATGAGTACGAGCCTTCACGGAGTGAATACCGAACAAATCGGGCGTTATGAAACAGAGGGAAATTATTTCGAACAAATGGGACGGGAATACCTGAATGCTGTCGATCGTTCGGAGTTGAAAGACACGAAACATGCAGGGAATATTCAGATTCGAGTATTCTCTGCAGTTGGCGGAGTTATTGATGCTTCCATTCGCGGGGAAATCATTCGAAATACTGCTGATTACAATGGTTCAAATTTTTGTCAACGTAATCCGAGGCCCAAAATGGAAATTTTTGAATTACCGTATACCGTACCTATGAATTTATGAAACCAGGGATTCCCCTTCTTGGAACATTTGTGTGGATTTTTTTTCGAAACCGGATGTAACCCATTAAAAAATTTCGATAAAAGTTTAAAGTTTTGGGAAATATTTCAGGATGGTTTCGAGAAACCGAAATATTGAACGTAAGCAATGACGTTGTTTCGTCGGTTTAAATATGGTGCAGAAATACTGTACTGTGAAGTTTTGTGCAACCGTCAGTGGCGAATTTTCCGGCGTTTTTTTGTACTGCCTCTCTTCATCCCACTCCCTGTAGGTTTATTTTCCGAATATTTCAATTTCGAGTACTTCACAATACGAAAAATGCGTTGAGATGCAAGAAATTCGCGTGATGTTCGTATAATCGAAATTATAGTGTTTGATGCCTCTATGCATAACACAGTAGTCAGATGTGATGAAATCCTCTTTTGTCGATGACGAGCGATGAAGTTCGGGTTATTTGAAATGTACTCGTTAATCCTGCAATACGTAGATGTAAATTGGTAATTTCAGAATACTGTACGCTTGAAGCATTTTAAAGCATAATTTACGAAGACGGACGTCCCGAAAACCCCGATATTTCTTCGATTCTCCCGATAATTATTTCGCAAGAGATGAAGCTTACTTAATACCAAATCGATGTTTCGTCCAATTTTAACATTTAAAAATGTGTATTCCTATAAAAAATTTATGTTTGCAATACCCGTGTTCTCATGATGTCGACTTTTTTATTATTGCATGTACGATTCAGGTTACACTTCTTGAAATTATTGACCGCTTATATTTTAATAATCTTTTTCATTCTTGTTCAACAAAATAGAAAGTTGCTTGGTTCTCCGTAGAGGGAATTTTAGCATGCGTTTATTATTTTCTGGAGAAAATCGGTGAAAACTTAAAATGCATGCAGTCGAAGTACAGTATTTCGGTATTTTAAGTGTTGATTTAAAAATCAAATTAAGGCGGTCCTCGTACTTTCACGCGCTTTCGTGCGATTATTTCTGTTCGCTTTATGCGTAAAAAATTGTTTCCGTATCGAGTGGAATTTTTGCATCAGTGTAGAAAATGAGAAAATGCATGTAAAATAAAATGAAACTTCAGAACCTCTTCATGACGATCCCCGACGTCTGGTTTCCTTCAAGTTTGTTGCGCGCATTTACAATTCAGATTCGGCTCCCCGATGACACTGTAGCCCACGTATCGTTATTATTTTCCGTCCAGTTTAACCGTGAAAGTTTGTTGAGTGGAATCTCTCGTCGGGACGCTTCGCGGACACTTTCATCGAAGGCGATGAAGCGTTAGAGGCGTATCTCGACATTGGCTTGAGAAGGGAAAGATTCGAGGGTTTCGTTGCTCTGAAGAGGCTGACCTGGCAGCTGAGATGAGCGGCGCCAGGCGCGAGTCGCAGTCACGTTTTTCGAACTCGCCGCTGACCCACAATACCGTGGCGCGTGGACTAGTTCCGCGCCGGCGTCCGGGTTCCGTCGGACGCCTTTTCTCGCCCCCAGTCCCGCCGCGTGAGATCATAGGAAATGGTGTTTGCCCGTGAACCAGGCGAGAACTCGTGCTTCCGCTTGCTGACGGGCCGAGCCAAACGGTTCATCTTCGTTTTTGGAGTGTCGGGGTCACTTATCGTGATGCAGTTTGTCTCGGGAACGCGGGGTATTTCCGTGTTTGGAGTTCCAATTCGCGGTAGCTTCGTCAGTGGCACAATTTCAAACTCGTTCTTTTTTTTGTCTTCCTCAGTTAGTGCTTAATTTTGCTTGTCATGCACTCAGTGTTATTCGGAGCTTGGAAAATATTTCGAGACAGGAAGTGCCGTTTCGTAGAAGCCCTTGTTGGTACTGAAGTACTGTAGTGACTTATGGTCTGGAACAGTGCTGCTCAACTCAGATGTGGACAAGGGCTACGTTAATGTATATATATATTTTTTTGGCCAAGACCCACATGGCAGAAATAGGAAATTTAAAATTTTGAGGTTCCAAATTTCCCCCTTTACCGTATTTACTCAAGTACCACGCGCCCCTTTTTTCCGAAATTGAAAAGAAAAAAAAGGTGGTTCGCGTCATAGGCGGGATAGCATAATGATTTAAAGCTTTGGTGCACCTCATACTTGATTCCAACAGAGAATTTAGAACCGATTTCTAGACAATTTAAAAAGGTTGCAATGCAAGGAAGAAATTGAATTCTGAAGCATTTTATTTTTAAAATATTCAGTGCTACGCCTTGAATATAAAGGTGCGCGTGATTCAATGCTACGCATTGAATCACAAACTTAACCTTATACAATTTCCGAAGGGGGAAGCAACCTTTTGAATTTTCAAGTCCATCTTTCAATGTATTTTTGGAGACTGTCACCTTGAAAATTATAGGAAAAGTACCGCGGTATGGATGAAGAGTCTTTGTGGGCCGTATCTGGCCCTCGGGCCGTATGTTTAGCAACGCTGGCCTAGAATGTAAAATAAACCTTGCTTTTGTTTTATTTGTCCAAGCGTCTGGCGTTATTTTAACATAACAGAGGTGCTACGCGAACACAATCTTTGGTCTAGTCAATTTCCTGGGGTCAATTTCGTTGGTATCGTCGGCCATTTTCCCCGCTGGAGAATATTTCTGAAAGTTTCGTTCATTCTCGATCACGAAATGTTCCTAAACAAATCTCAAACTGACGTATTCAAAATAAATTGTATTGTATTACTGAAACTTACGACGACATTGTTTGATTACTGTACAGTCCTGTACAGATATATATCCTTGATGTGACGTTTGGAGTTCCACTTCATTGTGGATAGTAAATTTCTCATACGCTCATCTCCTACCCTATTTAATCTAATTAACGTTCTGTTCAGTCAAATTCGTTATAAAATAATCGTCTTCTTAACTGATTGCAGTCGGGAAATTCAATTGAGTGAAATTGATTTGGCATTGCAAGAAAGAATGTAACTCATGGCAAGATGTAGTGGTCAACTCATGAAGTATTTATACTCCGACTTCGTTCCACTTCTGAATTGATGATTCTGTGTCGAGGGGCTTTAGTGTGGGAGTTCACCGAATACATTAGTCGCTTCTTCTTTCGCCGGACTTCACCGCTCCTTTGAAACGCGTTCCCGAGAAATGCTCGTTGTTTAATGTAGAAGCAGGCGTGTTTCAGGTCCCTGTCTCATAGCAATGATGTTATTCAAATCGCTTTTTAATGAATCTTTAAAATTTCATTTTTTCTATTCCCGCGCTAGTCTTTCTTGCCATGAGCATTACGTACAAAATCCGGATTCAGGATGAAGGATTTTCAAAATTTTAATCTGCTTTGGATCAGTTTCAAGTTTTCAATGACAGGTGACGTTTTACGCACGATATCACGACTCCTTTCACAGGAAATGCTCAAAATATCCCGGAGAATGGAAGCGCTGGGCCTATAAAGTCGTAGATCTTTCGTGTAATATTGCTAACATTTATTCGTATTGAAAATGTGTCACGGCGAAGTAACTTTTTGGATACCCCGTACATCAACGTTACTGCAGTATCGTACGAGTCATTGCCACTCTGCTACTTCATGAATCATAATTCTGCGCAAGCTGCCACAAACTACCAAGCTGTGAAGTCCTAATTGCTAGCTGTTAGCAGTTACCGAACATCTGTTAACATTTTAGGGAATCATTATTTTGTTCGCATTGTGAGCTAATGGCTGACAATTTTGTGGCTTATTGCTATTGTAAGCTGTACTCGTCTTGTACTCCGACGAAGATAACTGTGGACTAAGCGATAATTTCGCGCTTCTTGAAATAATTAACGCGTCATTGTGAAATGAGACGCACACGAACTGCTTCCTCAATTTTCCAGGGTACAGACCAGGGCACAGTTCTGAGTTAAGTTACGAGGTCTGTTCTAGAAGAAAAGTTTTCTCTTCAGGGAAATTTTCACGTTTCCGGGTTTTCACTAACCACGTGGAATAGATCCCAACGAAATACAGTAGGGCCCCGACATGCGAACGACTCAACTTACAATTGAACTTAGCAACACTTCGTACTATACCTCCACATCCGGGCAATGCCATGATATGCGGAAACTTTATCAACAAATTAAGGAAAAGGAAAATTCAAAAACTTTAAATTTCTTTAAAAAATGAGCTATTATTGATCATAAAAATAATTACAAATAATGTGTGTGATAAATCCACTATAATTCTTAACCCAAAACGGGCTAATTCTGTGCTTCTTTTTTCACAGTTCTTTCCATCATCTGTGCACAGTACATGGGAAAACGTGTGCTTTTTCTTTGCCTTTTTTGGCTTCTTTTCGTGCCAGAAGATCAGATTCCGGTTTGAGTAGTTTTCGTCTGCACTGTTATTTTCTGCGCATGTATCTTGAAGTTGATGGAAATTAGTTTTTTATCCAATTTTTGGAGGGACTTTTTCCCAATTTTTTATGAACAGGATAACCATCGAAGTCTGGAAACCGTGATCCCAAATGCGGATATTGTGACATTGGGACAATGTCCAAATACCAATTGTGTCCGCATCTCGGGGCCCTTCCTTCGCTCATGAATCGCCCCTGACCCCCGCAGCTGGCTGAGTTCTTGGAATCAAGCACTCATCCTTTTCTTATGCGCGCATCTTTTTGTTTCAAGGATGAGCACAAGGCTGATTTCCGACCTCCTCTGTTGTGCGACTCGACGGAGTTACACTTG